TGTAAGGGGCCAGTTCAGGGCAGGAAAGCAAAAACACTCAACTGTGAGAGTGCAGAGCTGGGACAAAACTGTATTAAAGTATATTGTAGCCGGTAAGAATTAATGTGGTTATTGCTCTTTAATTTTCATCCATTTGAATATCAGTTGATACCGCTTTATCCTACTTAACCTGTACAGGTGTGAAATAATTGCTATTATTGTATGATGTAGCTCAGGTTAAACCCTTTTTGAAACATAAGCAAATACAGAACATACAGAGAATAAATGTTATAGAACTTTCTTTTATCATCTAATTTGCTGACACATTGCTAACGGCTAACGTTACACCGTTTACTGGAAATCAATTCTTCTTCACCGCTCTAAAACAGCAGCTGCAAATCACAACTTGCCATGTATTCAGATTCAGATTCAGATTCAGAATACTTTATTAATCCCCGGGGGGAAATTGTTTTTAATAAAGTATTCTGAATCTGAATCTGTAGATTACTGTTTTAAAAGCAGCAATGTTTTTTTAATAAATTACATGGATCAGATCGGTGCATAAACTCGCATACTCGTTGACACCTGATCCAGCATTTTGGGTATTATCAAAGGCATTTCCGATACTGTTATCTGTATCAGAAAACCTCCGGGAGCTTATTGATATTTGGCACTAACCAGTCAAGACACAGGTACCAATTTAGTACTGGTTCGGGCCACCTATCCCTACTGGTTCCAGCGTCTGAATTAGATTTGCAGATTTTCTTTGTGTCATGTGAGAGTAAATTGAATATCTGTTGGTTCAACAGTTTGGAGATTTCACCAACGGCTTTTCTGATATTTTATAAATGGAATGATTGATATATTAATCGACAACATAAAAAAAGTTAGTTGCAGCCCTCAAATCTTGTAGCTCAATCCTTCATCATGTGTACCCCCGCTGAAGCCACATAGACCAGTTTGAGAAGCATGAGAGTGAAATGAGACCAGAGGCTGACCTTCACAGAGAGGTCAGAGCAGAACCAGGAGGATGATTTAAGCTTTCAGGGATGGCAGTGTCAATGTGAGCCTTAATGTGTGTGTGTGTGTGTGTGTGTGTGTGTGTGTGTGTGTGTGTGCGCGCGGCTCTAACTGCTGCGCGGCTTCTCCGGCGGGATGAGATAAAACGAGCCCTCACCACAGTGTTCTTCTGTGGCTGAGCTAGGTTTCAAGATTTACAGCATTTGAGCAGACATCCGTCTCCCCTGCAGTGGCCATTGGCCCATGACATCTAAGAATTCCATCTAATGGAATTAACTTTTGCTTCCAACACAGAAATGTAATGAGGAACTCTTAAAAGAAACTCCTGCCTCTGGCTAAGCTGCCAGAGAAGCACAAAACAAAAGGTCCCTGGCAGAGCTGAAATACCTTGTTAGATAATGGAGGAGCTTAGGCTAGCTGCCACTCGGTGTAACAATGCAGGGCTGTTACTGACTCAACACTTGAGTTTATAACTGGATCTATTAGGAGAAGGCCTCTTTCTGCTTAGTGTGTTTATAGAAACAGCTTAACTCTGTGCACATATCACTAAGAGCAACACATTAAGTCAGATACACCAACACAATCTTAGTTAATCTCTGTATTAAAGGACAATGTCATGATTGTATTTTGTACTCTTTCACCTAAAATCTTGAACCAATCAGCAGCGAGTCAAGAGCTCAGTGTCTGTGCTTAAAAAAAAATAAAACCATCAGAGTTTGTGGAGACAAAAACAATGTTTGAGCAACAAAATCCCATCATGGTCTTCAGTAAATTTTGGCTGGTGGTAATCCCACAGTTCGACCGGTCCCTGCAGAACCCCCCACGAACTATTTTGTTTTGTTGCACAACAATATACACACAACCTCAAGTGGTTTTTGTAATTTTCAAAAATGTGTTTCAGCATCAGCAAAAAATCCGAAGATTGACGGCATTATGACAGACTGCAGTGTGGTGAAGACCTCGAGGAGGTTTCGGAGGGGGGCAGATTTTTACAGACTCGCATTGGCCAAACTAACAAACACACAGGGGTTTGATGTGCAACTATGGCGGCCACTCAACAGTTTTCACCCACGCAATTTTCTGTGAGCTTTAACACAAAAATGCAGACCCTCGAGGGGGGAGAAACATAGACGTCTGCAACTAATTGACAAAATCAGAGGGTTGCCTGTCTTAGTGTCCATTAGCAGAGAATGTAGCGCGGACCACCCTCTTAGAGACTCTGTTCACACTCACAGCTCTGTGCTGAAAGAGTTCTTTATCAAGCACCTAGTTATGGTCAGATACATGGACAGCAGGGATGCAACTATCGTGAATCTGGGGTCGATACTGATGTTTAAAATAACAATTTGGTCAAAATAACTGAACTGTTTTAAAGTCATTAAGCCCTTCATTACACAATCTTTGAATGAACATAAATTCAATCATACAGTTTTATAAACCAACCTTTGATATAACCATATTCACATGAAAAGCATCTTTGAATAAAAACTGCTTCAAACACCTTTTTACTATATATATAATTTTATATTGCTGTGAAAACATCAGCAATTTTCTTCTTCAAAGTTGCTCGCCAAAAACTAAACAGCTTGTTTGCAATCCTGTGACTATTACAAGGCGTGAAATTCAGCTGGAGGGCAGAAAGTGAGAAGTCCATGAATGAATGAATCCGCTTTTACATCTGGAACCTCCCGTCGACAACGGGCTTGAGACGCGCCCGTGTTGAGGACTTTGCTCAGATTCCAGAGTTACTTCTTGTACTGAAGCCTCCTTAAGGAATCTGATGCCATTTGATTCAGCGGTGGGAACCTCTTGCAACCGTATGCCTTTGCAGACGTTGACCCCAGCAGGATTCGAAACCCTGGACCTTTCCGCACGGAAAACGAGTGCTCTAACCACTACGTTAGGCCCCAGAAAGTTATAAGTCCATATATTGTGTGAATTAGAACCTGACTACGTAAAAGTGTTGGATGAACAGCAGGTGTCATCAGAAAACGAAAGCTCATTTTGGATGTAATCCGCACAAAACAAAGAAAATGAATGTAGTGATTAGCTGTTATAAAATTCCTTGTCCTCCAGACCTCCTAACGTTACTAATGTTACACAGCGAGCCAAGGAAAGCGTAAAACAGCCTGGAGAACTGTAACTATTTTTTGTGGGGTTGTTTTTAGCAAAGATACTAGATTACTACAAGATGGCCCACCTACAATATATCCCCATTGTATGAAATAGTATACATTTTTACGGTCTCTTCAGTAGACGTTGTCCCCTGTAGCCCAATCAAAGACGATGGAGAACCACCAATCAAAGACGAGTATCCCCAACCTCGCTTGGTTATCGTAGATTAGCTGGGCTAACCGTTAGCGGTGTCTGTAATAACTCAGTAACTCAATAAACGATCTGTGAAAAAAAACATTTTCCAGCGGATATCTTAGTTACAACATGATTGAGCTAGCAAAGCAGTTTTGTGTTGCTATGTGTGGTATTTATTCAGTTTTGGGAAATCACGATGTCTAGAATGCATCAGTGGCTGCAGCTGACAGGGACAGCTAACAGCAGCAGCAAAGCTAACATCAGGACATCATCTGTTAAAAGCCTCCCGTTGTCGGATGCGACATGAAATTACTCCAGTTAGCTCAATCATGTTGTAACTAAGACATCCGCTGGAAAAAAAATATTTTTAGTAATCCAGTATCTTTGGTGAAACTGTGCTGATTTCAGCACCAGTGATGAGATATCTGTTGCCACATCTCGCAAGAGTGTGTTGTTGAGACAGAGACAGGTCTTGAACAAAGTAAATTTCTCCTGATTTGTCCATCTGAAATTTGCCATTTTGGTGTCAGAATGTTCTGAAGATACGTGGCTTGTGATAAATGGGTCCAATATCTGCTTCTGTGACTATGGGACGAAAGAATCGGGCATCATCTGTAATCACGTTAATTTCTCCCATTGAAGTCAATGGACTCAGGACCTGCTGTTAGTCTCCTAAAGGGGCGTGGTGGTCGCGGACCCCACGTGACACTGATACAGGAAACTGACTCGCAGTGGACCTTCTTGGTTTATCCACCATCTTTGTTTTTAGCCAGTGGAGTTAATGTGTTATTTCAGCTCTCTACATGGATGCACTGCTGTCAGGCTAATGTTACTTGCTAATGTTAGCTAACTTTAGCTACTATTTTCCACCACAGATTTTTATAATAACTAGATACTGGACCCCAATATGGCACCTCTTCATTTCAGTGGGGCTGCTCGCCTGGTGCATTTGGTAAAAATGTTTTCTGGCTTCTGGGCTACATATGTGGCCCACTGAATATGTGCAGTAGTGCGTCTCTCGCTGGCCCTGCCCGCGAGTTCCCACTCGGCTCATCGACTTCACAATATGATGAAGTGACAGATTTTTAAGTTGAGTTTTTTCTCAGCTTAATTCAATCAATCAGCCAGTTTTTTATTAAAATAAAACCTTCATGGATCAGAAATTCATAACATAAAGAGTATGACCTTGTTTGCAGTTCGAGGTTTCTTGTCAACAGTGATCCAGACGTGGCTGCAATACCACAAGTGGACATTGCGAAAAACTGGCTGCAAGGCTGAGCGGCATTCCTGGGGGCATGTTTGCTACCTGCTTGGTTGACAATTTCTAGAGGTCTGGCTGTTAAAAATCTGTTGTCACAGCACGTTATAATTGCATCAAAGTCAAGGCATTTTAACACAATGCTTGAATGTTTATTTTTTAAATTAGTTTGCTCTGCTCCTCCTGGTATGACGTTAGCCTCAAGCCCTGCTTTCTAGCCTGCGCAGAACTGATGTGACACAACAGAAATATATCAGCCACTGCCATCTGTGAATGTCTTCTTATTTGCCGATAAGTCTATGGCAGTCAACAAGGTGATTATCAGCTGATACCGATGTTCGGGTGATAAATCGCTGCATCCAATAAATCCAGAGAATAAAGAGTAACGTAAGTAAACGTGAGTAATGTAGGGGAATAAAATCTGCCCACATACCCTCCTTGGCTTCATCTACTGCAGGTTTTGAGCTTTCTTCTCTCCTTTGCTTTATGGCCTGTAGTTCCTTCTTCAGCTGCCGCGCCTCTTTCCGTAATTCATCACTGTGTGAGGGGAGAAATGAAGTTAAGAGTTTAAACTCAACATATATAACTTTTAGAAAAGGATTACACCTGCAGCAGACGAGAACCATGACAGAGCAACAGGTTCACAGACAAAAGTCGGTCATGACAAATGTATAGTGAGCAGTTAAAGCAGACTTCTGGCTCCACTGGCTCCTGCTGTTACAGAAGTATATTCACCATTAAAGAAAATTACATCAGAACCCTAAATGTTTCTGGTCTTCACAAACAAACATCAATTGTTCTGCCTCTCAAAATGTAATAGTTGTGGCTAATTATGTGGGTACATAAAACAAACATAAAACACTGTGTGCGAGTGTCAGGATGAAGAATGTACATTAAAATCTTGTGTTAGTCCAATAAATTTGATGGAGCCTTAATAAAATAATTGTTCTCCCCTCCAGGCTCCTGGAAAGCACCAGGAGGGGTGTTGAGGTTGAGCGAGAGAGAAAAATGTCAATGTGTTTCTTATTCTGAGATGAGTTATTGTCATTGTAGCCGGACTCATTAAAGTTTTTTCAAATGCTAACACTCAGCAGTGGTAATGAATACAAATCTGGTGTGGAGCTAGATATTTTTAAAATTGAGGCATGTGAGAAAAAATGCACCCAAAACCTTCATATATTGCACAACCTAATTGTAATGTTTCAAATCTAATATGCTGCAAAATGAGGCTTTAAAATGCGTTTCTGGGTTTGACTAACTTGGATTAGCTGTACATAAGGTTCAAGATGGGAACAGGCATTTCGCTATACTTAGAAATGTAATAGTTTAATACCAATAAAATTCCACAATTCTTGATACCCAATGTGAAACCCAGTCTTCCTGGGTTCAAAAGATTATGTGGAATATTTATCCTACATATTAACATATTTCTCCTCCATTGTTGTTGTTCAGCACTCGTACATGTAAGATGTGACAGTTGGTCTTTGTGATGGGCTGTTTGTCCTGCCCTTCCTCCACTGTGACTGAACGACAGTGACAAGTGCAGCGTTTTACTCAAAGCTAAACATGTCAACTCTCAGTAACCAGAAACAAAAAGCCAAACGTACAGCGCTCAGCGCAGAAGAGATGCTCATTGCAGAATGGACGCCCAGCAGCTCGTCACGCTGCTGGTGTTAGTAGCATTGTGTATATACGCAGCGCTTTCATTGCGAAGAATTAACCAAATATGCTGGCCTTCGGAAAAACGCTTTTCATTTCAACAAGACGAGGTGGAGCTGTCGCTGCACTCATCACCGTCTTCCACATGTTGTCAGTGTTCTTCTTCCTGTGGCATTTGACGGCAGACCAGAACACTTGTCGGTGTACATGCTGCCACATCAGGCTCAGAAAAATTGCATCTGCAGTACCTACGATACTGGAGAATAACAAGTCCTGTCTTCAGAACTTTGGCATTGACTTGGTACTGAAGTATTTTTTCTCATGAAATCCCTAGTACTGAAAATGGTACTGTTTTGCAAGTCACAAGAAGGTGTAAAATTTCGGCAATCAGGGACCAAATCAAGTCCCAAGTCAAGACCAACAGGTCCCAAATCAAAAGCAGCAAGAACCAACTCAAGACCAGTAACTTCCTATTCAAGTCTTTAGTAAAGACCAACAAGCCAGAGCTCAAATTCAGTCAATACAGGCAACTCCCAAGTCAACACCAACAAGTCCCATTTGAAGTCCAAGTCCAAAACGTTGTGTTTCGAGTCCTTAACAAGTCATGATGTGCCCTTCACAAAATCAAATGCCATTGGTGTTAAAGTCAAAGTCAAGCTGCAAGTCTCTCTGGTCATGTCAGGTCAAGTCTGAAGCGATCAGATTCGTTACTTGAGTCTGACTCCAGTCCAAGTCATGTGACTTGAGTTTACACCTCTGCATAAGCATACTGACACAGTGAGTGTGCATGTAAAGCAGAGCACAACAGTTTGGATGGAAGCCATGTGACACTACTGCATGTTGTCTGTGATAAACTACATAAACGTCCTGTGATACACGAAATACACAACTGTCAAAGGCTGTTAGTGGCAGAAGTAATGAAAGACTTTATACTTCCTTCCCTCAAGTGGCACAACATGAAGTATTACAGGCACTGCTCATGTCCAGCCACCCCTATTAAATCTTTAACTGGATCACAGAGGCAGGCCAAGGCACATCCTTGTTTCCCTGACTCAAGGTAGCGTCCCCTCTGGCAGGTGGCCCAACGCCCAGCTCATGCAAGGCTGAATGCTAGGAGTCTGAACCAGGGCCAGCAAATGCTGATTATTGTTCCCTTTCACATGATTGAGACCACTGCCAGTTGTAGAGCAGATATGTTATGTTAGGAAATGATAATATTTTTGTACTGCCTGACAGCCCTGTTTTTGTCCCATTCTCTTGCGGAGCCACAAAGCACAGGTAAGCTGCACAGTCTGGGCCCCTGGCCTAGAAACATGTGAGGCATCTCCAGACCAAACAATGGCTGCCTTTGTTTCTTACATCTGCTTCTCTGGGCCCACATTCATTTAGATCCTTTTCTTACCTTTTTATTTCATTCTTCTGTTTCTGGCTGTCCAACACTCATGTTATCTTTGTTTAAATCTCTGACTGTGGCAAAGCATCGAGGCATCAAACACAGTGATATTTTAACTGTAAGTGCCTCAGCAAATATTAACAGCTGTGTCTGACTTGATGTCATGTCTCTTCCTTGTTAGTTTCCCTGCTGCTCCCGAGGATACACATGAGGAATTGGTCAGACATACGGTTGTTAGTCGTCTCTGTTCCCAGAAGAAAAAATGTTGCAGCTGAGTCCAGACTGAGTTGCCAAGAGCAGAACTGGTTGGCAGAGTCAGACTTGGCCTGCGTGAGGAAGTCGCCTGCTCAGCTTCGTCTAGGAGCAATGACAACAAACCTCTTTCCAGAGACACAGACTCAGATGTGACAAACCACAGGTGGGCAAAATAATATTATTCAAAGACTAAAGCTGCCATTCACAATTTCACATTTCATGCAAGAGGTAAAGCCTTGTAAATCTGGCTAAATTTATGATTTTTTTGGGCTAGTACACCTCAATTGAAGAAAGCATATTGACAGCCATCAAATGTAAATACAGCCAATTTATCCTCTGCTTAAAACGTGTAATAACTTAAGTAAGTATGACTGAATGTGACTTGTGTTCAGCCACTTCTGTAACTGCTGTCACATACTTGAAACAGAATATTTACCTCCGCCAAGAAGATAATGTACTCGGTTTGGTTTGTTTGTTTTTTGGCAGGTTTCAGAAAAACTACTGGCCCAATTTTCATGAAACTTGGTGGAAGGACATTGCATGGACCAAGGAAGAACCCATTACATTTTTTATGTATTTTATTAAATCTTTATTTAGCCAGGAAGTCCCTTGAGATAGAAATCTCTTTTCCGAGAGAGACCTAGCCAAGACAGCACACCAGTTATAGTTTGAATAGGAATAAAAAACAGCAGACGGGCAAATGCAATCATCAAACACAGGAGACTAACACTAGCTCATATAAAACAGTTGCATTTCTCAGTACACATGTAGCTGCCCAAACGTCATACAGAAAGCAGTCCTTATGGAGCGTTTGTGCACCATAATGCTAATAGTTTGGGAAATATATCCAGACGTACGTAGTGGTTGTGCTTGCAGATATGCATATCGTAGAAGACAGGACTAATGGTCTATCTGTCAGAGTTCTGGAAGGGCTACTCTAGGCTTGGGCGGTATTGAGATTTCCCAACGGCATGATTGTCAATACCGTCAAATACAGACACTCTTCGCTCTATTAACTACTAAGAAGATGCTCTATTGAGTATTGCAATATGTTGTATTGTATTGTACCGTTATGTAGTGCACAGCACATGCCGCCAGAGTTCAGTCCTCTGGTGATACAGGCAGCTGAGCCTGGAAAAATGGCGACTGCAAGTGGTGGGGATAACGTAGCAGAGAGAGGCAGTGAGGAGAAACGAACTTCACACTGAACTCATTGAACTGAAAGCTTATTTAGATTTAGTTTATTTATTTAAACCAGAGCTGCTGATTGTTGTAATAGTTGAAACGCGGTTCTAGTGCTGCACGATTTGATAAAAATGTGCGATTGCAATTTGTGTGGACAATATCGCGATTTGCGATTACAATATAATAATAATAATAATGATAATTAAAAAAAAAGGTATCATTAGTTTTCTTGCTTGATTCAGTGTTTCCCCTACATTATATTAGGGGGCACTGACCAAACCCGACATAGTTATTGTTATGGACAGTGTGTAAATGACCATCAACAGACTGAACACAGTCAAACAGCTGCTCACACAGCAGCGTAGCACGGAACTGTACACAGCTGTGCACACCATAGCACAACACACTAGCATGTCAAGTGGGCCGAAACTGAGCAAAATTGCTCATTTTTTCTATAATTTGTTACGGAGTCCGTGATTTCCCCATGACACTTACAGATGTTTGCGTAACTGTGCTTGGATGTTGTTTTATGAGGATCTGGCGGCTTTCAGTTGTCTGTCTTTAACATTACACAGCTAGGCTTTCTCTCGCATGCACTCTTCCTACTTTTCCCTGTGCTGTCTCAAGTGCTGATATAGATTGGTCGTGTTGCCGCGGGATGTGGTGACTTTAACTTTTAAACTTTAACACAGCATGTCTTTCTGTTCAACGTCACCGTACCTGAATCCAAAGTATCGCCATTTAATAGACGTTGCGTTTTTACCGCCACCAAATCAGCCTGTTCATGGTCGCGATCATGCTCTTCTTCAGCGTCTATGTTGGTAACTGCTGCACGCCGGGTGGTCACCTGAACATACGTGCTGCACACACCAGGATACCTTGTGGGCGTATTGTCAACAAACTCCACGCACTACAGGAGAGGCAGTCACGTTCACAGGCACACACGTTAACATCTATTTACATTACATTATCGCAGCCTTTTATGCAGTTATGTAATCGCACAGCCTGACATCGCGATTGTGATTGTGATTAGATTAATCGTGCA